AAGCCATAGATAGATGTGGGCTGGCAGGAAGCAGATCAGATACCGTGGGTTGCAGCCCACATCTACATAACATCCTGTACCATTCCATACCTTCATGCCATCATCAGAGGAAGTGCTCACTGCCTCCCGACAGTCCTGCTTCAAATCTTTTGGAATCATTGCCTTTTGATTTTGAGCTGTGGCTCTCTCTCTCTTCCGGGAGCCTGGCTGGTTACCCTGGCAATGAAGGGGCTACTGGATGGACCAGACCGATTATGCAGGGGCTAGCTGCAAAGAGCACAAGGATGCTTTTGAAATGTGGTAGTTGCTGAAACCCAATTGCATGCAATGTGCCATACATGTTGTGCCCTGTGGAGTTGTGGTCTGGCAGGAAAGTAGTGCAGCAGCTAGGTGCAAAGAGCACAACTATGCTCTTTTTGGAGTGCCTGTGACATGTCATCCATGAAGTTGGTGTGTGGGCTCGGATTGAAAGTAGATTGTCAGAGGCATGGTGGACTTGCCCAATCTCACCCGTGACCCTGTCATGACTTTGGCTGAGTGCCAAAACTTCCTGATTACACGATACCCTTGCCTGAGTACACCGAATGGCCTTCTGTCAGCAAGTAGCAGTCGAATGGTAGCTCCACCTCTTGTGTTCATCACAGCAAAAGTCAGTGAGGTCGAAAGCAACGACATCGACAAATGGGGTGCAACCTGGATTTTCTGCACGTTTACGCAGGATTGGGAAATGTGAGTCGGGAGTTCCAAGCGATGAGACTTGATGCTGAAGATGTTGAGTACAGCTTCTTGTCAGCAGATCAGTTGAGTCAGTCGTTCCTACCCGATATGAGTGATTCAAATGATGGCTCAACAATGCACCTGCCCAGGCCAGGGTGAGCAGATGAACCTACACCTCCTGGAAGGTTTGAGCCATTGCATCGAGAAAATGGCACAGGTCAAACCTGAGGGGCTAGTACTGCTATCACCCACCTGTTCTTCTTGGACATGGCTCTGCCTTGGAACTTCCCTGCGAACCCTTGTTCCGAGGTTAGCACTTGAATCCTCTTCATTGAGTGAATTAGTGGGTGATTGATTGAAGCTGCCTCAGCTTTATGTTCCAATTATTGTTACATGCCCACATGCCTGACCCAAGCAAGCTGAGGCCCTCTGGGGTGATGCATCCCGAAGATTCGTGGTGACTGGTAACGCAACCGCAGAGCTGCTTGGCACTGTCTTGCTACCCCTGGCTGACTGGTTGTGCCTTGAGCATGTGGTGGAGCAGCCTGCACCTCGGATTCATTGGGTCGCTCAAAACCACTTGTTGCCCCTTCAAATCCATGCACATGTCTACACAGACACAGTGTGCAAGGAGCGGAGTTTACTGTTTCAATGGCCTTCCATCCAGAAGCACAAAGAGGTGCTTGAGGAGTCGGGGGTGACAGTATGGGTGATCAAGCTCAACCTGCTCCACTTTGGTTGTTTTGCGAGCAAAAAGATCATGATGCAAGGCACATGGCGTGCTCTTCCACTCCTTGCACATATGAACTCTTTTGGGACAGTGGCCCCTGGAGATACCCTGAAACTCTCAAGTGCAGACTCAAAAGGAAGAAGGCCGGGAGTTCTGCCACTACACAGTTTCCTTCTAGCAAGCAGAAGTATTTGTTTGAATTTCCCTCGGTTGCAGGACTGGAAATGAGCTTTTGCAGCTGTCGGCCATATATCCACGACATTTTGGGAAAGCAATTGCTACACTTTTTCAATGGACCAGGTATGGACCGAAACCAGCAAAAGTAGACCAAGAGAAGTTCTTCAGGGGATTTGCCGGCAGACTCCCATCACCGAAGCAAAATTTGCAGGCCATCCAAGAGCAAGTGCAAGAGGCCGGTGGCTTCACAGATGCGGACCCGGGATGGCCAGATCTTGTACTTGCACCCAGACTAGACCGAGAATGGGTTCAGACCACATTCAAGAAGCGGAAGGCAGAGTTTGCAGAGGCCAGCAATACCAAGAAAGCCAAGATGCCGACACCAACCACAGGGCACAGTGGCTGGGACGCATCTGTATGGACTCGGGGGTTGTTGTTTGCATTGTAGATTCTCACATTTCTCATGTCAATACAATATCCCAGTGATCCTGATGAGGCATGGAGGAGGATGTGGATGAGTCAGAGTCGTGCACAGATGATGAAGTGATCTTTGTGAGCTACAGTGATGAGGTCATCTCCGATTGACATGGACAACTTTCCTCAGGCACGGTCGGTGGGGAAGCAACCTAACATGACAATGAAATCAGGCGATCTAGGGGTGCACGGTTTGTGTATACCCACTTCGCCCGATTTCAGCTGAAACGGGGCTAACTTTCCACTCAATCCAATGATCCAGGCGATCTGCTACTACACGAACTGTGCGTGGTGACATCGCCTGGTTTGCTGGCTCCGATGGTAAGATCGCCCGGTTTCAGCTGAAATCGGGCGAAGTGGGTACGCACAATTCGTGTACCCCTAGATCGCCTGGTTTTGCTTGCTTGTCGAGTCTTGCTGCTGAGCCATGAGCTCCATCAGTTTCTGGTTGTGGTTGCAAACATGAAAAAACCGGTGTGCCAGAGATATGTCGGCTGATCCTTTGACAATAGAAGCAGTCATGACTGTTCAATTGCTTGGGAAACATCTTGGCTTCTTAGCACAGGACTGCTTTTTCTGCTGTGCAGATCACAATCATTTCGCTCATGTCGGGTCCGGCTCCCATGGAAGGGGTCAAGGAGGAGCTGCCTTCACCTCCACGGGCCGATGCCACGGCTCTCCAGCTTTCCACTAACCTTACCCAGGTGAAGGCTTCCGATGTGAAGTCCGAATCGGTTGGCATCGGGAATAGTGATGAAATCATCAAAGAGAGATTTGAGGCCTTGACAACAGCAGCCCGGGATGCTACACCGCAGAACTTCCGTGAGAAAGCCTCTGTGTATGGTGAGAACATACTGAAGATGTTTGGCGGTCCTTGGCAGTTTCTGAACCACAGGTTTGCCTCGGAGGAGAGCAAGGCCGAGTTTGCATCATGGTTGCAATCGGGGTTCCCACGCCGATATGACTTGACATATGCTGATCCGAACAACTTGCCTGGGGATAGTGAGCAGCGTTTTGTTGTCATGGCCAGTGACTTGGGCTGGGCTTCATCCTGCAGCACCAAGCCACCGCCCTATCTGCACACCGCTCTGAGTTTGTACGATGAGTACTTGACGCGTGGCTTTGTATCCTCAGGGGATGAGCTCCTTTTGTGGAGAGGACAGAGTCCAACTGTGCTGCCAGACAATGCGTCCTTCTGGACGAACTTTGTCAAGGGAGCGGCACGCTCGGGGACACTCCTCTTCCTCCTTGCTCTGGTCAAAGAAGCTGGCTGGGAACTAAATGTTCTATGCCCATCCCTCTATGACAGTATTTTGGCCATCCACTGTCGAGTGGACATGTCCTGCCACGACATTCAGGGCGTAGCCTACCAGAATGCGATGCTCAGTCAAGCGGGCTCCTTGCGGAAGGCACACGACGTGCCATGCTGGCTTATGAAAATAAAACTTCTTCAGCAGAAGGGCCTTGCTGCTGAGGAGGCCATAAAGAAGTGGAACCAGCAAGCAAGCAAGGATGGCCAGCTCCAAGGTCAGAAGAGGACATGTCTTCTCAATCTGTTGAACTGTCCAACAGAGGCATGTGCAATCCTGTTATCTCATGCAAGCACCTATATGGCAGAGTCTGTAACTTTTAATCTTGTTACTGCTTGTTCTACTGCCATTCAAAAACATTTGGGGCAGACAATTCAGCAATTGAGGCACCTATGGCACTTCCACCGCATTTGCTGAAGAGGCTTTCTGTCAGAAGCAAATCCTTCCAGGCCATGTTCCGCGGCATTCTGTGAAAGTCTGGAACAATCGTTTGACGATTACTCCGTCGAGCTTTGTCTTGATGATGAAGTTCATAGACTTGCAGCATGCGGAGAAACTGCCGAGCCTCCGGTACAAGCTCCCAAAGGACTCGATGCTTGAGGCTGCGCAGATGGCAGCCTTGGTCCTGTCAGTCACTGATGACCTGAAGGAGAAGCACGGAGTTTCTTCGGACAAAGTGGTTGCCTCCTTTCTCACAGATGACCGTCACCTGGTTGGTGAGTTGCATGTTGCTCTGCATGAGAAGTCAAGTACATGGGAGATCAGTCAGCTCAGTGTCGTCAAGCAGATCTTGCAGCAGCACAACATGCAGGTGGACAAGACCCATCCACAGTCGGAGCGAGCCGTCCGAGCAGCCGAATTGGAGAAGGAAGAGTTCAGTTTGATGCTTGCAACATGGGAGTTGCTTGCCTGTGATAAGTTTGGAGAGTTAGGAGCATCATGAGGGACGAGTTCTGTGCAACAATCCAAGGCGGGACTTGCATGCATACACCGCTTGGGTGACCAAGTGTGAGGACCGGGAATCGGCCAGGTACCATGCTTCAGTACAGCACAAGCTGCTGCGCCAGCAGACGTGCCACCGCCAGATCCATGACTTGTTCTGCAGTGGTTCATCCCAGATGGGCTGGCTTCACACCTCAGGCACGGCATCTGCGATGCTGGCTTCTGTGACTGCTTGCATCGATGCTGTCTCGAGCAAGCACCAGATAAAGCATGGAGAAGTGGTCGTTTTGCCGATCCTGAACTGGGGAGCACCATCCCTCATCAAGTCTGACGATATGAAGTCCCAAGCTCAGGTTTTGGCTGCACTTTTGCACAGCCATGGGCAGGATGAGGGCACAGCCGCGGCGGTGATCCTCACACCGGCCTTCTCTTACACCCGTGGCGGGTTGTACAAACAACTCGAAACGCAGCACAGTCTGCTAGCGAATTGCCGTGTTAATTTCGACACGTCATTTTGCCTCCCCTATGCGGAGCGGACAGATGAAAGGGACCAGAGGCCAATTCCTTAGTTTTTAGTGATGACAATGAGGTAGGAAGCATGTGGTTGCATTGGCTTGCTGTCCTGTTGGGTTTGGTTTCAAACAGAGGCCGATGGTGAGGAGTGGCAAAATCGGTATGCCCACAGACGACAGCCACTACCATCTGACGTGGAATTTTTGGAAATCCACACAGGCTTTCCGAAAAGGATTAATGGACACTGCCTCCATGCCGAGTACCAAGGACTTGGCATACATCGAGGACACCAGTGAAACAGCGTTGCCGATGACCACTTCATTGACACATGCCACGACGGCAGGCGGACCCGCCGAAAAGGTGGCCCAGATCGGGCTCGATGCCTCCCACAAGATTCTACAGGGGTTCCTGAGAGGTCTCACCCCTGCCAGAGCATCAAGCATGCCTGTCCTTGTTGTGGACTTGTGGGCACATGTCGGCGAAATGGCCAAGGCGGTGGTGATGGAGAAATTTACTTCCTCACTTGCCGGCCCTGTGTACTATGTCGGCTTCCATGATGATGCGGTGGAGGCTCCATCGGTGGTATAGGCTTTAGGGGTCTTAGGAATTATTTGTGTTGCATTTTACTAAAGACCTAAGTCCTAAGGATCATGAAACATGGTTTTATTCGGGTTCTAAGAGCGCTAGAGTTAGTAGACATTAAACCCTAAACCCGCGAACCCACAAGGCCTAAACATCCCCTGGTATGTCTGAGTCACGAGAGGGTTACCCTAAACTGTGAAGTTTTTTTGTTAACCAGGCCCCATCATTCAACCGGTATTGAATCATTCAACCGGTGGTGAATCACCTATAGAACATACAGCTGCAATTGAGCATTTTGACTGCCTCCTACCCCAGGCCTGAATGGAAATCAATCAATCAGCTCCATCAAGTCAAATCATTATGCCCAGAAGCTTCCTCTCCTCCCAACCCCTCCTGCCCCATCAGATGGACTGGGCACTACAACACCATTCAGATTATGCCTTTCAGAACATCATCAGTGGCAATTGGAAGCCACTTGTGCCACTGCCAGAGCCACTCCCGGATGAGAACTTGGCAGCACCTCCCGCACCCACTTTCATGCTCCTGACACTGAACAAGCGTGACAACAGCCTGAAGATGCCTGACAAGGTGATGACCAAATGGCATGACCATGTGGAGTCGGACTTTTCAGCTGTCTTCCGCAAGAAGTATGAAGAATGCAAGCAGTCATTTCCATTGGACATCCCGAATCCCAAGCGTGAAGCAGACGGAGGGGAAGATGGAAGTGCCAACAAAAAACCT